CAGTCTTGGGCTTCTTACCTTAGGAAAGACATTGAATTGTTGGAAAGGGTTCAGAGAAGGGTTACTAGAATGGTGTGTGTGAAGGAGGGACTGTCATAAAAGGAGAGGCTGAAATCTCTCAGACTGTTTTCTCTTGAAAAAAGAAGAGTTAGGGGGGGATCTCATTGAGGTGTTTAAGATTGTAAAAGGAATTGATAGTGTTGATGTATCATCTTTTTTATATTTAACAATGAGAATAGTAGGACTAGGGGACAGAAATATAAATTTTGGCAAGGTAGGAGTCATCTTCAGTTAAGTCAGTTTTATTTTTCTAACAGGATGGTTGGCTTTTGGAATGGGTTACCTTCATATGTTGTAGAGGCAGTAAATTTAAGTGAGTTGAAGAAAAAGCTTGATAAGTATTTGAACGAAAAGGGCTAGGTTTAAATTTTTTTATTTTATTTTTTTCAATCATTTTAATTTAGTTTTGAGGATGTAACAGCCAAGATGGACCAATAGTTCCCATGTTGTCCCAAAATGTTATGTTATGTATTATGATAAAGGATTTGAGCTGACAAAATGTGCATAAAAGTAAATGAAAGTTTCTGTACAATTTAAAAAAAACTAAATATCAAACACTCTACTAAACAACAAATGGTGTGAAAGGTACTTCAGAAACATTTTAAGGACATCTGACCAAAACCGTTTAAACAGAAGAATTGCTGAATGATAAAGGTGGTTTTATGTGGTCATGAACCGCCCATACTTCACAACAGTTTGGTCCTTGCTTTTTTCATTAATCTGCTACTCCGTACAGGTAACTTTTAAATCTATAACTTTCTATTTTACATAATAAAAAGATGTTTCATCCGTATTTGCAATTATCATCATAACCAAAGCCAATATTCTACTGAGGTCAAACTTTGGTTTCAAACAATAATTTGCAACTATATATGTGTGAGCGAAGGATGCCCCCCCCCCAAAAAAAAAAAACATATGACCTCAGTATCCTCACAACTTGTTATGGCCCTGTTAGTAACTGGAGTTTGCTCTCAGTCTTCCATTTAAGGTTCAACTGTTTTCATAATTTCACCATTTTTAAAAAGTAAAAGTTGCTTTCAAATAATAGGAACCATACTGAAGATCAATAGGTGTAGTTTTAAGGGAATCGGCCAAATGAACAAATTTCTTGTTAGTTTTAGAAATTAAACATTTTGTACGAATTAATTTGTAATAATAACATATTATAGCACTGACTTACATAATAAGTCATAAGTTATTTAACTGATTATTTTTTTAACCTCTCGCAAAGCTACATAAGGGCTATTTGCACTAGCCGTCTCTAATTTAGAAGTGATAGACTAGAGGAAAGGCAGCTAGTCAACACCATCCACTGCCAACTCATGGGCTACTCTTTTACCCATGAATAGTGGGATTGAATGTCACTTTATAATGCTCCCACAGCTGAAAGGGCGAGTATGTTCAGTGACAGGGATTTGAAACCCAGATCTTTAGGTCACGAGTTGAGCACTTTATCCACCATGCCAACACAATGTAATTATACACCAAAGTCTAGTCTTTATCATAAATAAGTTAACAATATTATATAATTAAACTAACAATATTAATTAGCACCTTCAATGTAAACATAAGCCAAATAATATATGTACAATTACCTAATGTTTATAACAAGCTAAAAAATACAACATATTATGAGATTAGACAGAATTATTAGCTGAGAATAAGCCTTACCATGTGACTAAAGTTAACATTTTCTAACAATGAAAAGGTATTTCCGATAGCTACTTCCTACTCTCACCCAAAGCTATCTTGACCTAAATTTTCCCTCTAAACATTGCTATAATATTTCAACAGTGCACCAGTCTTTTATACCACCTTAATTTTTGTGCCATTGCAGCAACATGTGCTGATCATGTGACCACCCTTCACCAATCATACTGTGTCACCTATGCCAGTGCAGGTAGCTCCCTTTACCATTGCAACATAATCCTTACTTTCGAGACTTGGCAAATACAAGCCAGAAACACCAGCAAATGAGTGAGGAGGAGGAAGGACGGGAAGTGGGTAAGAGGGGGTAAGTATCTATCTGAAATACATTTTCAGTGTTAGAAAATGTTAACTTCTGAAATGATACTACTTCTTCTTACCCAAAGCTAGAATCCCACATTGCAATGGTGAAGGGGTCAGTGAAGGCACAAAAGTAATCAAACAAGTAGAGAACAACCTCCGTGAATGAACAGGTGTGCCACAGTTATAAAAGGAGGCACAACTGTGGGGTATAGCACTACTTATGGAACAGGTATGCTCTTTGCCCAGAAATGAACAAAGTAAGACACACAGGGCAGAACTTAATAGACAGGCATCATGTCATGTAATGCAGAATCCACCCATGGATGAAAGATAGTACGTAAGATGTCCACATAATGTAACAAGCGTGAGCACATGACACAAACATGTTCAGATTTGAAATGGTGCCTAGAATCAGATAGAAGAATATGTAACTGGGGCTAAAGGACTGTAAATGTATATGAATAGGCCAAGTGTGGTCTTCCCAAGTAGAAAACATCCAGGGGAAGCACCTTGGGATACGACAGATTATGCCAAGTGTGGTCGATGGGCAAAAACAGCATGGAAGCACCCTGCGTAAATTTATAAAATCAACAAGTGCAGTCTGCCCAGGCAAGAAACATCCTGGGGAAGCACTTTAGATAACATGGAGTATGTCAAGTGAGGTCCATCTGGGCAGAAAACACCCAGTGGAAGCGCCTTGCATAAGATTGATTGATTGATATCTTGACCATAATATTTTGAGAGATCAACATATGAGGGAGGTGCCTTGTGATATGATGTAGTATGATAAGTGCAATCAAAGCACCTTTCATAAAATTGTTTGTTTCATATCTTATACGTAAGTGAATTAGAGGTCAACGAGTGTGGTCTGCCCAGGCAAAAACATCTGGGGAAGTGCCTTGTGATATCATAGAGTATATCCAGGCAGAAAACACTCAGTAGAAATGGTTTGTATAAACAAAATTATTTTGTGAACAACAAGTGCAATCAGCCGAGGTAAAAGCATTTGGGACAAACACCTTGTGTTTTATTGAGTATAGCAAGTGTGGTCCATCTGGGCAGAAAACATTCGATGGAAGTGCCTCGCATAAAATTTGTAAAGCATGATCAACAAGTGCAGTCTACCCAGGCAAAAACATGTGAGAGAAGCACCTTGAATGGAACATATTATGATATTGTAAAATATGAAATATAATAACGATAGCCCTCTTCTCATAGAGTGGGTACATATGACTATGAAGTTTGTTTTATTGTACAAATCCCTCTCCAGAGGAAACCTCCATGGTCCACCACTTCAGTGACTGGAATCTGGAAGTGGCAAGGACTCCCATGTTCCACTAGAAGAAGAGGGGATACATGCTGGAGAGTCGGGAGGAATGACCCACAGGAGACAGTGCAATGGGTTTCTGCAATTCCCTATTTTGAAAAGCAGAAAGACTCAGATTGTAAGAATCACGGGTCAGTAGGAGTGGGCAAAAATCCTCATCTGCTTTACGCATCTCCACAGTGAGCATTATGGAAGTATACAGATTTAGTGCCAAAATACAATATTCAGCATACCTGATCAGGCAACCCCTGCCACTAGGTGGGATCCTGAAATATGAGGTATAATAACGAATTAATGTAAAAAGAATAATACGTTGACTTACCCCAGGCAAAGGCAAACAGACATGTGTGGAATTGCCATGGAGGAAGATGATACCTGCTCAAGAAAGACACAGCTATGTTGTGTACATAAAGAGTGACAAATGTATTGGGTGTTGTCCACATAACAGACTGAACAATCATAATAAGATAACAAATTTGGTGTGAAGAAACATGATGTAGACGGTAATCGTCCATGGACCCATCAGACTATGTTTGTGTCACATGCTTATACTTGTTACATATGTGGACACCTTACGTACTCTCTTTCATCCATTGGTGGATTCTGTATTACATGACATGATGCCTGCCTATTAAGTTTTGCCCTGTGTGTCTTACTTTGTTCATTTCTGGGCAAAGAGCATACCTGTTCCATAAGTAGTGATATACCCCACAGTTGTGCCTCCTTTTATAATTTAGGCACACCTATTCTTTCATGGAGGTTGTTCTCCACTTGTTTGGTTACATTTGCACCTTCACCAGCCCCTCCACCATTGCAATGTGGGATTCTATCTTTGAGTGAGAAGAGGTAGTATCATTTCAGAAGTTAACATTTTCTAACACTGAAAATGTATTTCAGATAGATACTTACCCCCTCTTACCCACTTCCCGTCCTTCCTCCTCACTAATTTGTTGGTGTTTCTGGCTTGTATCTGCCAATTCTCGAAAGTGAGGATTGTGCTGCAATGGTAGAGGGAGCTACCTGCATTGTTATAGGTGGCACAGTATGATTGGTGGGGGGTGGTCACATGATCAGCACATGTTGCTGCAATGGCACAAAAATGAAGGGGGTATAAAAGACTGGTGCACTGTTGAAAAGTTTTAGCAATGTTTAAAGGGCAAATCTAGATCGAGATAGCTTTGGGTGAGAGTAGGTCAGTACATTTTCAGAAAGACTGAAAGAGAAAAATAATTTCTCATAGTAAGATTTGGGTTAAATAAAAAAAAATCTCAGCAAAACAATTTCAAATAAATGTTATTTAAAAAATGAAGACATTCAAAATCAAATAAAACCTGGACAATACATGCCTGTGTTCATCATGTCTGAAAGTATGAATCGTCATTAACCTACAAGTTTAAAGTTAAACATGTTGAAATAATATTTATTACAAGTGAAAAAAAGTTACATCTATCCTTCACTTCACAATAAAATTTGGATATATGTTTGTAGAATTCACAAGCATTTCGGGACTTTTTAAAATTCTGAAAAAATTTCAATTTCTTTTTTTGTTTGTTTGTTTGTTTTGAATTTCACACAAAGCTACACAAGGTTTTTTTTGCTCTAGTCGTCCCTAATTTAGTAGTGTAAGACTGGAGGGAAGGCAGCTAGTCATCACCACCCACTGCCAACTCTTGGGATACTCTTTTACCAACGAATAGTGTGATTGACCATCACATTATAATGCCCCCACGGCTGAAAGGACAAGCATGTTTGGTGGATCGGGGATTCGAACCCGCGACCCTCGGATTGCGAGTCGAGTGTCCTAACCACCTCGCCATGCTGGGCTTTCTTTTTTTGAAGAGTGCAGAAAGTATAATTATCACTCCAATGGAAAAACTAAGTTAGGAGCGAGAAGAAATTATGACATAAGGCATATACATGTGCAGTTTAATTACCTATACAAATAACCTCCAAAGTTGATTGGGTAGTCACTTTGTGGGGTAATAATTTGAAGGATTTAACATACACAGATATTTCATAAAACTAATAAAATGGAATGTTTTCTACACTATATGAACACAGGATATAAACAATATGTATGATGACAAACTAATGGAAATTATATGTCGGTGTTACTGTTACAACAGATGACTATATATTTAGACAAATCTAAAACAATTTATTCAGTCAGTAAGATATAGTAAAAAAAATAACACAGAATACCTTGGTAATCAGGTGAACTATTATTTCCTGAGCAGTCCAGATCCATTGGGGGAGATTCTAAGATACACACAAAAAATTTCTTAGATTCATTTAGCAAATATATACTATACTTTTTTTATTGTGATAACAGTTTAATGTATGTACATACATTACCATTGTTCTCATTTACAAAAAAAACATCATTTTAAAAAATGTTTTCATGTATTTAAAACCAAATTAATCAGCTATTTTCAAAACCTATTGTGCTCCAAACTGAAAATGTTCATTTTGTTAGAAATGAAGCAGGTAACTTTTATAATATTTTGAGCAAAAATAAAGTACAATATCTTTTTTTTTAACAATACGTAAAATGGAGTGAATCACATCTAAAGAGTACGGGCAACTTTTCAGTTATGATCATATAAGTCATCATGCAAGAAGCTATTTATTTCTACAAGAATGGAAAAATGATCTTTTACCATATTTATTCTTTGATATTTCAAAATTTGAAACTTTCCTGCTACAAATGCTTAATTAAACTATAGAAACTACTATTAGTAGCTCTTGTCAGTAACTAAAATCATTTACAAACCAAATAATACATTTTTTAACATGGCAAGTATATATATATATCTAAATGTGCTAGTTTTACTTCCACAGGGCTCCTGAAAGTGTTCTGTTTCGAGGGAAAATAAAAGCAAAATTAAGAGTAACAAATATTTTTATTCTTGATTTTGCAGTTCAGATGTCATGCTCTGTTGTAGTTTAAAAAATGAATCATTCTTCTCGATCATTGTGACATGCACTTGTTTTACTGATATCATGACAGTACAAATTGAAACATTAAGCATTCCTTATGTGACATCATTTTAGTGTTTACTGATCAGCTGACAGACAACACACTACTGTAAAGTGGTGCAAGTAGTTAAACCAGATGACTCTTCTAGGTGAAATTCCAGTCACCTTTTGGGGAAATTACTTACAAAAGAAACTTTTTGATTATAATTTTAAAACAAATATTATATACTAAGAAGTTTTTTTTTATAACCTTAATTTTTTCTAAGTACTGTGAAAATTTAACATTGTTCTTTTCCAGATATAGTGGGGCATGTAGAAATTAAGGGTTCAAGAGGCCCTGTAGCAAACGTTTACTCTCCTTCTACAACTGCATATGCGCAATAACTTCCTTAACAATAAATGATACAATGTAAATAATGACTGTAATCCAATCCAAAAGCATTTAATAAGATGTTTTTTAAAACATTTTTTTATAACTGTCAGCTGGTATGAAGACAGTTCCAAGAGAGGAAAAGTTGAAATATATATATGTATTGAATGTGGAGATAAAAATCCAATTGAGTTACTGTTATTTTTTACAATTTCTGAAATTTATTTGACATTTTTCATTCCAAATTTCTATAGCTTTCAGTGGGCTTTTCATGTTCCTATACATCTAGGCCCAGAGGTAGTTGACGTTCTACACCACAACTTAGCTGTTTCTGTAGCGACATAAATGTCACATAATTAGGTAACTTCTTATAAGTAGTTTACAGAACTGAGCTTTATTACTGCTTTAGTACTGAATTAGTAACTCAAAAATCAGTGCTTTTGATATATATGTATGTTCATGTACTTTAAAATGCTTTTTTTATATTACAAATCTAATTCTCTTTGCCCTGACAATAAGTTAATGCTCAACTGATTAGGCTAATAACTAACTGTTAGATATACATGAGTGTTTCACTTAAATTTAATACAAGTGTTAAGATCTATATAGTAAATTTAGTACTTTTAGAAGCAATAACCTATTGCAGGTTTGCTTAGATAACTGTTTACGAATCAATTGTTGTGTAATTCATTGTTGTGAATTGATGTCACATTACTCTAACATTCTGAATTTTTCTCTTTGCTTTAAGTGAGAATTATTACATCTTAGCATCTTGTAGTTTGTACAAAGTTCTAGGCTTCAGCTGACCAATATGTAGGTGACCAAGTTAGAGCACATTAAGTTAGTGAAAGTAAAAGTGAAAAAAATGAAGTTAGACTGTATATGAGTTTAGCTGTGATGGGTGATTTCTAAAGTGAGTTTCACGGCTTGTAATGTAATAACAAAGATAGAGGAGCATGATTTGTCTTGTCGAAGAGTGTTCTAAGGTAACTGAACCTGCCTGTGTGGACACTTTTGATGTAAAAGATCATTTTTAAATCTCTGGATACAACTGTGGTAACCCATGGGGTAATGTAAGAGAATTTATCACTGACTGTATTGAGATAATAGAGTAGAAAATAATAATTCGTCTTGTCATTTGGGTTCTAAAGTAACTGAACCAGACTGTGTGGACTTTGATGAAAAAAAGACAAGTACTTAAAGCACTGGATACAACTGTAATAACCAATAGTGTAACAAATTTTTGTACACATGTTTGGCTTGTTTTAAATATATTATTTTAAAACAAGTGGATTGTGTGCTATCTTGAAATTTATCACAAACAAGTCACAGACACCTACTGTAAAGAATTGTGTCCCTTTAAAAACCTGATACTAACATTATGCCTGAATGTATTTAGTAAACTTTATCAGAAAGTTCTAAGTTAAAGTGTATCCCTTTAAAATATACTTTATCACCCACATTCTGTTCAGTTGCCATTATATACTGTTACGACAGCGGAAGTCACGTGACGCTGGAAGCATGCACGCTGGGGTTTCTAGAAGGATCATGACTGTTCCTCGCAACTCTAGTCTTTTCTAGGCACCCTCTATTTTAGTATATAAGCTGGCAGATAAATTGATAACGTGATAATCGAGTCAAGCCGTAAGTAAAGTGTGTAAATCATTGTGAATTATAGCATGTGTTTAAGTTAAAGTGACTGTGGAAATTAAGTGTATTGCAAAGTAGTATTGAGAAAGAATAAACTAGTTTTATTTAAGAAAGGACTTGTATCTCTAAAGTTCTTCGGAAATAATTTTTACGGGAAATTAACAAATGACCAGAGAGATAACAATACCCTTTCTCCTCACTGTTTCTAATGCTCTGTATATACTGTTGCGTCATCGAGATCATGTGATTCTGACGCCCTCTACGTTTCTAGAACTATCCTGTACCTTGGCGAATGCTCTAGTATTTACTAGATATAGGGTAGTCGGGTATATAAAAGAGGGTGACAACGTGACAGAGG